CAGGCTACGTGTAGGCCGCGTGCCAGGCCGTGCCAGGCCGGCCAGGTCGGTGCCCCGGCAGGACACCAACTTGGTAGTTGTTGCCTAGGTGTTGCCTAGTTGTTACGAGGTGCCACGTGTCGCAATTTCACTGGAGGGCCAAATCTACCCTCATCAACTATGAAGTAGGTAATGAAGAAGAAATACAGAGTTGTGCTCTCACAGAAAACCTAAGTCCCAAATACACCCAATAGGTAATGGAGAAGAACTACAAAGTTGTGCTTTCGCAGAAAACCCTAAGCCCCAAATACACCCAATGTCTCACTCACTCTCACAAGACTCAGACATCTGTATACAAGACAGAAAACCCCCAAAATACATGACTCTTTGTATTCGATTCGGAGTTATAAGATGAATATGAGTCGGGTCCATACCACCCTACGCATCCACCACAAACCACTATGAAATTTTTCCTTCAAGTTTTTCTCAAATTAATTCGGAGCAGATTTATGAAGCAGATCACCACAAAGAATTCAAGGCACAAACATAAGACGTTTATTGGCATTTTGCTGATATGGTGCCTAATGGCACTTACGTGTCATAAACGTCCTCGTTAAATATGTTTCTTGATTTTACAATCACACAAATACAAAATGTTTACTGAATAAATGCAAACGGAACCAAACACCATCTAAATCAAAATTCCAAATGTAGTTATCCTCTCGTAAATTAAAGACCATATATACACATTACATATGAAAGCTACTTGCGTACTACAATGAAATACCAAGATTTATATGCACTATAATTATGGGCGAGATCATGCATTAATCTGACTTAATTAGATTTAATTGTAATAATTAATCTATAGATTATAAAATTAATGTGTATTCTGCATTCTAAATTTCCAAGGAGAAATTACAACAAACCATCTGAATTCTGAACTGAACTACGAGCCCTATCCATATTCGAATAGTATTTATTCAGTCTAAAGATAGATGAGTACTTAGAAATGAAATAAGAAGCAAATTAAATGCGAAGTCTTGTTTAAGAATTGCCCCTTTTGGAATTGATCCTTTTCTTGTATTCTTTGCATGGATTTTGTCCTGTGCAAAATTCTATTACTTTCATCAACTAGCTAGACTGGTGTATATAATAGAAGTTACAAATCAAGGTAGATGAAACTTCCTGTGAGTGAGAGTTGTACCAAAAAACATAAAATTTTCTAAGAGCCAAAGCAGAGAAATGGCAGAGAGCGCCGTATCATTTCTTCTCGACCACCTTTTGGCCATGATAGAGGCGAAGGTGAAGCTATTGAAAGGGCTGCGCAAAGAAGTTAAGAGCATTGTTGTTGAATTGAGGACCATGAAAGCATTCCTGAAAGATGCAGATGCAAGGTCTGAAACCGAAGAAGCTGTAAAATTATGGGTAAAGGATGTCAGAGAAGTGGCTTATGATATGGAAGATGTCCTTGATGAGTTCATGTTTCGCTTTGCAGAACAAGGAGAACATCAATCACATGGATTCATCATCAGCTATATTCACAAGATCAGCCGCTTCATCAAGAACTTTAAAACACGCCAGTCACTGGCCACTCAGATACAAGACATTAAAGCCCAAATACAGAATGTATCCGAGAGGAGAAAGCGATATAAACTCAAAAGCTTAGAACAAGCTCCAAGTTCGAGGTCTTCATCAGGTGCCATGTTCCATGATATCCGAGAAGATGCCCTTCTGTTGCATGAAACCGATCTGGTAGGGATTGAAAAGCCCAAGGAAGAAATCACTGGGTGGCTTGTGGAGGGTCAATCAAGCCTTGGAGTAATTTCGGTGGTGGGTATGGGTGGCCTAGGCAAGACAACTCTGGTCAGGAAAGTGTACGACGATCAAAGGGTGAAGGGACACTTCCAATCCCATGTATGGGTTACTTTTTCAGAGTCACCAAGGATTCACGAGTTGCTAATACACATGACAAAGCAGATATACGAGGAGCATCACCAACCAATTCCTCATGGAGTCGAGACAATGGAGGATGCCAAGCTGAAGCAACTGCTCCAAGAATTTTTGAAGCAAAAGAGGTATGTAATCGTTGTTGATGACATATGGAGCATACAAGCATGGAAATCTATTGAACATGTTTTCCCTGATACTGATAGCAATCGTGGAAGTAGAATAATGATCACAACACGTTCTAAAGTTGTAGCTGAATCGTGCATGAAATCTCATCTTCATGTTTACACACTCAAAACATTGTCCCAAAAAAAGTCTTGGACTCTGTTCTGCAACAAGACCTTTCGGTCTTCCCCTGACCATAGTTGTCCTACACATCTGGAGGAGCTCTCTCAAAGCATTGTCAGGAAATGTGGAGGACTTCCACTTGCAATTGTGACAGTGGGTGGTGTTTTATCAACAAAGCAGAAGACTGAGATGGACTGGGAGATGTTTGACCGCAGCCTGGCTACTGAGCTATATGAAGATGACAGTCTTAGGAGTATGGTGAAAATACTAACCCTGAGCTACAATGATCTGCCATATCATTTGAAATCTTGCTTTTTGTGTCTAAGTATGTTCCCTGAAGATGAATTGATTGATAAAACGAGATTAATTCGAATATGGATGGCAGAAGGATTTATCCAAAGGAAAGAAGGGAAGACCTTGGAAGAGATAGGAGAGAGTTACCTCTATGAGCTAGTTAATAGGAGCCTTATCCAAATAGCAGAAACATCTGACTTTGATGGACGAGTCAAAAAATGTCGAGTCCATGACCTCATTCGAGAAATCATTCTTTCAAAAGCTAGGGAGCAGAATTTTGGCACCATAATTAAGCAGGACCAGGATGTCAAGGTAGATAATGAAAAAATCAGGCGTCTATCTTTCCATCATAGTTGTGAATTGGTACCGCAACAGGAGGAGAGCATCACCCACCTTCGTTCTCTGTTTACGTTTAACGTGAGTACATTATCCGACACATTTAGAAGTGGTGCATTTTTTTCAAGGCTGGAGCTGCTCAAGGTGTTGGATTTGCGAAATGCCCCGTTGAATGAGTTTCTAGAGGAATTCACCAATCTCTTCCATTTAAAGTATTTAAGCTTGAGGAACACCAACATCAAACAGATTCCAGATTCCATCAAGAAGCTCCAAAATTTGGAGACCTTGGATCTTAAACAAACATACGTGTCTGAGTTGCCCATTGGGATCCTCAGCCTTCATAAACTACGACATCTTCTTGTTTACTACAGGACTACTGATTTTGCTTCTGGTACGTTTGACGAATATTTAGGATTCAAGGCACCAAATGGAATTGGAGTATTAGAATCCCTACAAAAACTGAGTTTCATGATAGCAAACACTGCAAGTGTCTTAATTAAAGAGCTCGGGAGATTGGTCCAACTCAGAAAATTGTGGATTATGATGTTAAAAAGGGAGGATGGAATACATTTGTGTTCCTCCATTGAAAAAATGAGCTGCCTAAAATCTCTAGCTGTAACTGCAATAGAGGAGAGCGAGATTCTTGACCTCGAATCACTATCTTCCCCACCTCGTTTTCTAAGAAAGTTAGCGTTGGTTGGGCGATTACAGAGTTTACCACATTGGATTCCTTCATTACGCAGTTTGAGCAGTATAGCCTTAGCGGGGGCTAAATTGAAGGATGATCCACTTGAAGCCCTAAATGGTTTACCCGACCTAAGAGTGCTTAGTCTCGGTGATGCTTACCAGGGAGAACAATTACGTTTTCAATCAGGCGGTTTTCAGAGGCTTACTTATCTAATTCTTAACAGTTTAGGAGGATTGAGAATGGTTACAATGGAGGAGGGATCACTGCCTAATCTCGAACGCATAGAAATTACGTATTGCAGAATTCTAGAGAAAGTGCCATCAGGCATTGAACGCCTCACAAAGCTTGAGGAAATTCTTTTTTGTAATATGCCAGATGAATTTCGACTGAAGATGTGGTATAATGGCGAAGATCATGCGAAAGTAGCACATGTCCCATCGGTTAGATTTCCGAATTGGATTGATGGACAGTGGGAGATATATGATTTAAATGATACTGCAAGTGCAAGGCGCAAGCTCCTCTTGGTCTGATATCTGGCTAACTAATAATTTGGTAAGTGCCCACCACTAATTCTTTTTTTTTAGTTTAATTAATTTTCATTCCCCTAAAACTAAATTATAATACTTCAGCATCATTTTAATTTGTTCTGCTTTATTCTCATTTCTCAGAAATTAAAAAAAAAAAGAAAAAAACTCAACCAGGGAAGATTACAAGAAAGGGCATTCATTTTGTTGCAAATTATAATAATCCTTTTAGTAAGGATGGATATGTTTGAACCGAGCTGAATGACCTTTTTTTGTCTTTTTGTGAATGACCGTTCAGCTCAAGGTTAGAATTTATAGTATAATTGGGGTAGGTGTCAGTTCGGAATTGATGTCAATTACGGGCAGATATAGGTGCATATAGTGTGAGTTTTTGAACTTTTAAATATTTATAAAATTACAGTAAAATTCAGAATTTTAGATTAGGCCTGTCCGTAATAAAATAATAGGACAATCAATATGAATTTATTTGTAACCAATCCCATTATTAATTATTCATTAAAAGACAAAATAATAGGACATTCAGCACTGTTCAGCCTTTTCAGTCATTGAAATGTGTGCCCCCTTTTCAGATGCAATCTGCAACGGTAAATATTTGCTCGGAGAGATATAACAAGTGGATAGGAACATTTTCGGAATTTCAAAAAAAGGTGGATTACACAATATGGAGATGGCCGAGTTCTTTATATGTTATCATTTATATCTTATACCATGAAAAATACAGTCCTTAAGGCTGTGTTTGGCTCGAGAGAGAAACAGAAAGTGAAGGTAAAAGTTGTTAAAACTTAAAAGAAAATTTCATTCCATCAACTTTCTGCTTCTTTCTTTCTTATTTTTCTATCCCAACATTTTAAATTAGAAGGATTTAATATTTCGTAGCATGTGCACCAATGACCAATCATACCCTTTTGGGTCTTTTTGACTTTTAACCTTTCCTTTTTGGGTTTTTATTTCTTCTCAAATTGGAGATGTATCCATGATGCATGAGGTAGGTATTCTCAGTTCTTATTATCCCTATTTTAGTATAATTTAGTGGGCCAAAGATTAAATCCATTAGGACTTGATCAAGGATGTAGGTCCTCGTAATCCTTATTTTGCCTCTCCATTAATTCCATTCAATACAACAAAACAGGATTTATGTAATCGACCACCCCCAATGATTTTGATGACAAGGTTTACTCTTGCTGATTATGATGAAATCAGATGCCTGAGACCAATATTGGCCATTATTACTATTTTAGCTATGGATGATAATGGCTTCCAATATTTAAGGGTGTCAATGGATCGGTTTTGGATTGGACCCCATCCAATCCAAAATCAATTTAGACGGATTGGATGGACTAACAAGACATATTGGATTTGATTAATTTGGTCTAAAATATTTATTATATTGGATTGGACCTGGTCCGTCCGTAAAAAAATTATATTGGATTAGGTTGGATTAAACTAATGTCTGGTCCATTAATATAAGATAAGAATATAGGTGTCAATAGACCAGATTTGGGTTAAAACCAATCTAAATCAAAACGAATTTGAACAGATTGAATGGTCTAGACATAGAATCGACCGGTCAAAAATATTCATTGGACTGGATTGGATTCGACCAAATCCAGTCCAATTGACACCCCTACCAATATAGTGGAAAATAACCAAGGGCCCAAAGCATGTCCCACTTATATATAGGACGGATTAATTGGTCATCAGCAGCCCTATGTTGTTTGAAATCTATTTGAGAATGGGTCAAGAATACTCCATCTAAGCTACAATTTATATATCATGAACCAATCTATTGCCATTCCCATAATTCATTTGTCATATAAACAGAAAGTCATCATAATTTACATTGAATTTAATCCATCCGCTTGCTTATTTGTTCTGTTTATGATGCTTCATACTTGGCAGCCAGCATATGAGAAGCCTTCTGCAGTGTAATCTCTGTGATACTTTGGAATGAAGACTGAAGAACAAATATGCTGCAAGGAAGATGTTATTTGGCCTTTATTCATATATTTCAGTAGTTATGGTTGGAGTGAAGATGTTTTAGTTCAATAATGTTTCCCATGCTGTAGGCATTGAAGAATGTTTGTGCATAATAAATTTGTCACCATATACTGCATGTGATCTAGCTAGGGTTTAATAACACTTGATAGTTAGGGTTTGATTTAATTTCTGTTCTCTTTTTTTTTAGGTTTAGATTTAATTTCTGTTTCTATCTAATGTACATGTTGCTTGTTGGGAAATTGTTCCTTGTAAACCCGTTTTATTTAAATCAATTGCATAAATGTATTAGTTGTTTATAGAGTTGCCTGATAATTGCATATGGAAAAATGAACTGAACAACTGTGTGACAAAGTTCTTCAGAAACAGTGTAAATTGAATTATTTCATTTTCATCAATTACAAATTTACAATCAATTCTACCTGTGCAAGTCGATGAACCAGTAGTTAAAGATGGTCATTTGGCGTCCCTCTAACTATGGAAGCACAGGAGCAAACCCTTGAAACCATACATCATTTGTCTCTACTCAACATTTTTTGGGTATCACATATTACAGTGAGGCACTCGGGGATGGGGACAAAGCAGGGGTGTCAATTGGACTGGACATGGTCAAATTCGATCCAGTCCAATGTGAGTCTGTTATAAATGGATCAGGTCCAATTCAGTCTAATGAATATATTGGACCATTTTGGATTAGTCCAATTCAATGTCTGAACCATTCAATTTGTTCAAATTTGTTTTGATTTAGATTGGTTTCAACCCAAACTTAATCCATTAACACCTAAATCAATATAAATTTATTATGGATGGACCAGGTCCAATCCAATCTAATAAATATTTTGGACCGTATTAGTCCAATCCAATATATCTTGTTGGTCCGTTTAATCCATGCAAATTGACTTTAAACTGTAGGGCGCAATTGAGGTCAACTTCAATCCAATGCCTCCATTTTCTGAGGGATATTGAATGACCATCTCAACTACTGGACCATTGACCTAATCAGGAGCAGGTAACTTGAGAAGGTTATGGTATTAACCCACTCATTTGAATGAAGAATAAAAAGAGGTGGCAATATGAAGTGTGGGATCAAACGGGTTCGCATCCTCCCCCGACAGGTTTTTCCCCCGAAAATATCCCACGGACTCACAGCGCGCCGCGTGTCCTCTCACATGCGAATTAGACTCTCTCGTACGGAGCTAATTCACTTTGCCCAAAAGGTCATCCCCTTTCAGACTCTCACTCCTCTCTCTCTCTCGAATTTCATCCTCACCTGAACCTTCGACCTTCCATTTCTCAGAACTGAAACCCGCCGGAGTTTGCCCCCTTCGAGTTCCGCCAGCCGACGCCGACAATCGTTCCGGCAGATTTGTTTACCAGAGGTAAGTTTCGTTCTTATATCTGTTTATTCTCAGTTCTCATATCTATATATGCAGTAGTCATATTTGACACTTATTCATTGACTTACAGGCTCATCTGATCCGATTAACCTCATCTTTGACACTTTTTAATCCTCAGAATGTTTGGATTAACATTCTTGCAGCTTCAACAGCAATATGTATCCCAGGATAGTTCATAATCTGCACCTGTCCCTCCCTCTGCACCCAATACAACTTCAGCACTTGTTGCTGCTGCAAAGGCCAAAGGCCTTGCTCCTGTGGGATCATAGTACAAGTGGGTAAGACTTTGGTTAACTCGTTACAAAGGCCAAAGGCCTTGCTCCTGGCGGAATTCGAAGGGGGATAAGCTCCGGCCGGTTTCAGATTTAAGAACGGAAGGTAGAAAATAAATTAAAAAAAAAAAAAACAACGTATAAAAATGAGAAAAAACAGATATGAGAACTGAGAATAAAGAGAGAAACTTACCTCCGGTAAATAAATCTACGGAACGATCGTCGGCATTGACTGCCGGAACTCGAAGGGGGCATTCTGAGAACAAAAAGTCGAAGGTTCAAATCAAGTTGAAATTCGAGAAAGAGAGAAAGGAGTGAGAGTCCAAGGGGGAATAACCTTTTGGGCGAAGTGGATTACCTCCGCACGAGTGAGTCTAATTCGCGTGTGGGAGGACACGCGGTGCGCTGTGAGTCCGTGGGATGATTTTGGGGGGCAAATCTGTGGGGGGCGGATGCAAACCCGGATCAAACCTGTATAAGTGCAGGCTCTCCGTTATAAGGTCAATGGACTTATGTGCACCTTGCTTTGTCCCCTGACTCCCCTCCCCCTTAATTAATACCCCTATAATTTGTAATTTTGTAATACCAATTTATAAAACTGGGGCAAACCCAGACACCATAACTGAGTATTTAATCTTTAGATACTGTGATGTGTAGAAGAGTTTCAATGTGATCTGGACAATGGCCTTACATTGAAGAATAGCATACACAAGAAAATTGTCTTGTATACAGCGTAAACTTAATTAGAAGTTGTACCTTATGTGAATATATATAAGCTACAAATGTGGCGTGTTTATTCGTGATGGGTTACTTATATTTGCACCAAATCAAAACTCCTGTGAAATGAGGATAGACACGCAAATAAAGACCATACCCATTCAATTAGGGGTGTCAATTGGATTGGATTTGGTCCAATCCGATCCAGTGAGTCCATTATAAATGGATCAGGTCAAATCCAGTCTAATGAATTTTTTTGATCAATTCGGAGCAATCCAATTCAATGTTTGGACCGTCCAATATGTTCAAATTCATTTTGATTTAAATTGGTTCCAACTCAAACCCGGTTAATTGATACATATATTCTTATCTTATATCAATGGATCAGATATTGGCTTAATCCAACCCAATTCAATATAAATTTGTTACGGACAGACCAGATCCAATCCAATCTAATAAATATTTTGGATCAAATTAATCCAATCTAATGTCTTGTTGATCCGTCCAATCCATCCAAATTGACTGATCCATTGACACCCTTACATTCAACTAATCTCAATCCATTATTTAGCATGTGTATTAAGAGCCCCCCTACCACTGATAATTTCCAAAAGAAAAACATCACCTTTTGCTGAATACTGTTGTGTGGAATATTACTTGAAATAAAGCATAATTGATAATTCAAAACATACTCTAGAATTCCAGATTTCAGTTATTATACAAACAATCTAAGGGCAGCGTCCCGTGTCTTTCTTTTTCTTTCTTTTTTTCTATTATGTAAGGCAACTTTAGCTCCCATACAGTTAAGGTACTATGTGTCAAACTTGCGATTAATGGGTTAATCAATGTTAGCAATAACCCTAGGGTAGGAACAATGCAGGATGAAGGTCCGTTAACCTTATCAGAAATATTTCCTATACATATATGTTAATTTTATAGAGAATTGTTTGCAGGGCTGTTCACGGGTCGGGTTGGGTCGGTTTACTAGTGTTTTTGCAACCGACCCGAATTGGTCGATTTACCTAGAAATGAAACTGAAACCGACCCTTTACTAAGTAAAACCGACCTGGTCGATTTGAATCGGTTTCGGTTGGTTTTGTGAATGATTCTCTCGGTATGAACGGTAAAGGATTCAAGTCTAAGAAGCAAAGGCTGGATGCCCAAAAATTAAAAATGATTTAATGGATTAAAGCTGAAATTTTATATATCAAAAATTTTATATATAATATGTATATTTCCAAAATAAAGCTGATATATATATTATATATATATATTTCACACATGAAAATCAAAACTGAACCGGACCATCAATTTATGTTTTTTTGTAACCCAAAACCGACCGGTGCTTAAGAAAAATCAGCTGACTCGGGTTGGATCGATCCGGATTGGTCAGTTTGGTCAATTTGGGTCTTGTTATGAACAGCCCTAGTTTTACATTGTATGGCTGGATTCTTGTACTTCAGAGTAGGGATTTTGCTTGCAGATCACATCACCATTGGCCATACCACACAGATCATGCAATTCCATCAATAAGGGACTCCGGATCACCTACTCATGAGAACTCACAACACACAGATCATGCAATACCATGTAGGAGGATGAGATGTTCTCCATGTATGACCGCGATGTTATGTGGGACGTGGGCAAAGTGTGTGTGGGCAGGAAAACTAGACTACAATCAATGACCTATTAGTTCAATTGATTCTCATTGTAGTGAATGCCAATGAGCCCACGTGTGTACCCTGCCACCACTGTGTAATCCTACCGAACCTTCCTTTTATTTTTCAGTCAGTATTACACATTAAGGCTATGTTTTGCTTGGTACAGGTTATCCTACCATTTTTTTAACCCTAAAATTTAGAGTTTCAGGTGGATTTTATTAACCATTGTCAAACGAAAAGAAGATAATGACATGGGAGGACATAATCTGCCTTGCCCCAAGCCCAAGCCTGAATAAATACAAACACTCCCTCGGTAACTCAAAACCATCAAAAGGAGATACAAAAGAAAACGTCAAGGCTCCTCAAAAATCAACATCTTCATCCAATTGGACAACTGAGAAAGATGATGATTGATGGTGATCAAACCCTTATCAACTCCTTCATTAGCAATAGCAATACAATCAGTAACAATATAGTTGGCCTCTCTAAGAACATGGTGAAAACTTATGTTACAGAAAGGGGCAACCTAGTGATTTAGGCTCCCATCAATGAGGGGTTTAGGGAGAGTAGATGTACACAGCCGTACCCTTATGCATACAGAAAAGTTGTTTCCAAGATTTGAACCATGGTCACCCAGGTCGCAATGGAAACTTATGTTACAACCATTTGAGTTTTCTTTTGTACTGCTAAGATGACCAATCAACTCTTTGATACATTGAATAATGTTAGAAGCAGTCATGAATTTACCTTCAAGTATATTTTTCTTGTAGATGGTAAGAAACCTATCAAATTTTGCATATTTTTCTTTAAGGCCCCATTCATTTTTTTGGTAAGTTACTTATTTGGGTTAGTGCATTTAACCATATTTTTTTATTGCCTAGGTAAAAGGCAATGACAATTTTAGCCATTAAAATCCATTATTAAAAGGAGCATTTATGTCACATTTAAGTATTGACAACTTCCCCCCTATCTGGGAAAGTTATTTACCCACCATAGGAAATGAGCATCACTTACCTAGGTAATAAAGTTTACTTGATCCCTACATAAATCTGAAAAAGAACATGGGTTTCTTGGTCAATGGGAACCAAAATCCCATTGACCAACTTTTCCCCTCTCAAAATCCAAAAAAGAACTACCCCCTAACTTTCCAGCAAAAATAATAGTGTCTTCTAATATTTTATAGCTCAACCTATTTTTAATTAAGGATCAAATTGATTAACCTATAACCATTAGCATAGTTTCCCTATGGTTAATTTATATCTAATGCATGGTGTTGGTATATGGAAGCTTTTTTTTTGAAAGGTAAAGTAACATAATTATGCTAAAGAAATAGATACAAAGTTTGAGATAACAGATACATCAAAAGGATAAGTATCTAACAAAAAATACTCCTGATTGATAGTTTTACTTTTGCATGCAATCTGATGAACTGTAGCGTTGTATTTTCTATTTATGTGAAAACAATCCACGGATTGGAATTCTTGAAGAAGGTTGATCATTCGGTTCAGAAGAAGAAATAGTGACCAATGGACAGATGCTTTTCCTTGTAAGGCTTGAACAGTTGATTGAGTTTGAGAAAACCAACATGGGCGGCTTATTGAACCGTTGCACTTAGAATAGACCTTGATATATAGCAAAGAGTTCCACAACTTCAACTAAATTCAAAGATTTTTTACCTCCTAAGATTTGAATACATTCCAATTGTCGGTTGAGGAGGATAGTTCCAAAGCAAAATTCATTAGAAGAAATCTTCCCTGCATCTGTAAAAAGGATGCCATCTATATATGGTTGCACAAATATAATTAATATGGAAGTTGAAATTGGTAAAGGTTCATGAACAATGGGAAAAGTTGAAAGATTGTTAAAAACAGTATTAGTTTTGCGTAAAATCTAGTGATTTGAAATAGTAATGTCTTTAAATGGTTTTTCATTTCCTGCAAACCAGATGTAATAAAGTGCAATTGCGTACCAACTAAGAGTTTTTAAAAAAAGTATCTTTTTCAATGAAAAGAGTACGCATATGCAAAATTCAATCCAACCAATTGGAACAATAGAAAAATTTATATTTCAGGGCAAAGCAAAAAGGATGGATTGGGTGAAAGAATGATCAAAAAAGATGTGGTTTAGAGTTTCTGGTTGGTTCTGGAAAAAAACACAGTTATGGTCCTGAGAAGAGAAAATATGTGATTTAACAAGTATGAAGTGTTTGATAATTCTCCAAATAAATAATTGATAGCAGGGAGGGCAGGGAAGCTTCCAAATCCATTTAAAACAATCTTTAAGATGATCAGAAACATTGAGAGGAGAAGCTTGCACTAGGTCTCTATAAACTGCAACAACAGGAAATTTACCCGAAGGATGTTTAGTCTAGATCCAAGAAATGGAGGTACTAATTGGGAAGTTTGGGGTTTGTAAAATCTGATCTACTTGATCTGTATTGAAATATTATTGCAAAATGGGGGTATTCCAAGAATTATGGTCAATAATATCATTGAATGTAAGATGAGAGACAGGGAAGGAAATGGGCTGAGGTATCAAGTAAAACTTCTCGACTATTTGGATCCATGATAGACGAGCAATATGTTCTGAGGAAGAAGTTTTAACTAAGAAACCTATTTCTTGAAATAGTAATTGTAATTTAGGGGCAACCAATTAGTAAAGAGAACTATGTGAAGGGATATTAGCAGGAAAGAAATAGTGAATGGGGAGATATTTGATTTCCATATTTGAGCCCATAATTTATGTTGTTCATTAAGGTATCTCTAGGCTAATTTTTTAAGAAGAATTATATTGATTAATTTGATGTGTCCAAAACCTAATCCTCTTGAAGATTGAGGGATGGCTAAGGAACTCTAAGAACACCAACGATAAGGATGAGGATTGGAATCAAATCTAACCCACAAAAAATCTTTTATAATTTGTTCTATAGAAGTTAGAGTTTTTTGGGGAAATTGTACAGCACACAAAGTATAAGTTGGAATCCCTTGAAATACATATTGAATTAGAACTCTTTTGATAGCTTGACTTTTGCAATAGCTTTCTGGTTATGGAGTTTGGCTTTGAGATTATCCAAGATATAGGAAAGTTGGGAGTGTTTATTATAACCCCAAATTAGAGGTAGGTGATGAGATTGAAAAGAACCCTATTTTTGTCCCCCAATTTTCATCTTTTTACATTAATTTGACACTTAATTGGACTCATTACTCTTGTATTTCGATTCAGGGCAACAAAGAAGGCAATTGGAAGCAAACAGGGCAAATCCGGTGATTTTGTAC